TCAAACACCTCACTAATATTTCACAGATGGAGATGAAACAAGGAGCAACAGCAGAGACCTGGGTGGGTTTTAACTACATTCATTAAGTTTATCATGGTGGTGTTTCAGGTCACTGAATAGACTGGGCATCTTTTCCTAAAGTTTCTGGGTGTATGTATGCACTTTTTTATATACTGAACATTCAGTTAGGAAAACAAACAAACCCCAAAAACCCCGCACTTGGTTTAGGTCACTCTGGTTCACACAGGAAATTTACAGGAATTCTGACCACATATTCACTGTAGGCTTTGGGAACAAGTCTGTTCTGCATGTTAAAGGAATGTCTCTAAAATAACTTTTAGAAAGTTAGGAAATTCCAGAAACTGCCTGCTTATTCATGTTGAGTTGGTGTATGGGTATGACCAAGGGTGGATGGGTGAATGGGTCAATCAATAGGTAGAATGTTTATGGGACTCAGTTTTTAATTGCGTAGTCACTCAGCATTTTCTCCATGGAATATCTGCTCAGTACATGGGTCACCAAGGACTATGAGCTTGTGTATGATACAGGTTAGGCCAGCTCTAAAAACTGCAGTTGTACCTCATGTCTTCAGACATCGCATAGGTCCAACTTAAAAGGTCTTAATTGGTGAAGTGCTAGGCAGACTGCTACTGTTCAGGAGCTGTTTCCAGACAGTAATCTAAATAAGATCAAATGGAATTTTTAGAGCAACTTTGATATTAAAGGATTTGCAATGGAAAAGCTCTAAAAAGATTTACAGTATTTTAGTAAAGCGGGCTGAGAAAGAATGTTAAAGGGAAAGTGAGTTTTTAATTTGTAGTCTGAAAATGCAAAGCCAGGTGGAAGAACTGACTTGTAGTAGTCTCATTCCTTTGGTAAAAGCACTGGATACAGCAGTTTTGTCAGCTCTCAGCTGTGACCCTGTATCCAAGGCAACTGTTTCTGAATGTTAGGTGGTGAGGAGCTATAGAATAGATGAGAGGCAGTTGTGAAATATACAGGTATGATTCTCAGGAGAAATAGTAATGAAATGCCAACAGGTGGAAAAGGGTTGAAGGAAGCACCAGAACCCAAACTTGGAATTCAGAATAGGATGTTTTCTTCCTTGATGTTAGTTCCTACATGTTAGTCAATAAAGACCAACCAGGACTGTTGGAAAGCTGTGAAGTAAAGCAAGCATGGAACAGACGTGAAACAAAATTCCTTGCTCTTTGTTTCTCTGTCTGTGTTCTGTAACCCCCATCTCTTGGGGACCAATCCTGCAAGAACTTAGTCTTTGTGTTGCAAGAACTTCTTTCCCTCTGGAAGCAGAATTCTGGTTATGGTTGTTCTTGTTATTGTTTATTTCTGAGGAATCATTTGTTTAAAAAGGTGTATTCAGCCATTTTAGTTTCTTTTATTCCTTTAAATGTAGCTACATTATATTTATGTAGAGATGATGCTACACTGATGATCTGTGCTGTTTCACTCTAGGATGTAAAATTATTGTTTTGGTGTGCTGACTTGCTGTGTGAGTGAAGTCCCATAGCAGGACACCTGCATAAGAAGAACTGGAGTGCCTGAGAGAGGCAGGGACACATTATGCCATGGTAAAGGCTGGAAGACTTTTTTTTGCGTAGTTCTTGAGGTGACTAAAACTTTATTCCATCTCTGGATAAATACATCTTTACTGGAAAACTGTCAACCTTTTTAATCTCAAACTATAGTAAGACAAAGCAATTGACCTGAAAGAAGAGCTCATAGTTACTAAAGCTGCTATTCTTTTTTATCTTCTGGCATCAACTATCTCTTTTACCCATAAGAAAATAGGTAAAATAGGTAAGAAAATAGGTAAAAGAGAGCAAGAACAACAGGAAGCATGTCACGAGTTTGCCCAGCTGTACTACCTCTTGAATCCATCACCAGGTTAAGTAATTTAAACTCCAGAAGAGCAGAATTGTAACCACAGAACCTGTTAAACAAGTCAGGATGAGGGTCTTATTTATTGCCAGCACTTACTCATGAGAGGCTGCTGAAGAGAGTTTTTATCAACTCATCTCTACTGATTCGGTTTGGGGAGGAGAAGTATCAAACACATGAAATTATTGCTGCCATAGAGCTTATATTTGAACTGGTGAATCAGAGTGAGGCAGAATTAGCATGAGGGAGGTTGAAATATTGCATCTGAGCCACACAAAGTCAACCCCAAGGTACCTGTATAATACGTCTCAGGGCCATGAAAAATGTAAAGCACCGTTGCGCTTTTTTCCTTGTACTGTCTCAGAGGCACAGGCAGTTCTGGATTAATTTGTTTCATCCAGGCATCATGATGTACCTTAGCCTTGAGCTGAGCTCAGAGGTGGTGTACAGAACAGACCAAGACTAACCCCCTCGTGGTCCAGGTGGTGCCAAAGGGACAAACACAGCTGGCAAAGGAAGACCCTGTGTGAAGAGTATGTGAGTGCACTTCCCTCAGCCAGCTGTTGACCTGAAGTTTCATGAGGGACGTGTTTTAGTGGTGGGCTTGGCAGTGCTGGGCTAACAGTTGGACTCAATGATCTTAAAGGTCTTTTCCAACCTAAATGATTCTATGATTCTGTGTTTTCCTGGTCTCACCTGTTTCTTAGCACTCTCGTTGCTGTGGTGGGTCCTTTCACCTTGCACAGCTACATACTGAATTTTGGTGACATTATGCTTCAGAAAATCTCAAAACATCAGGAGTATAAAAATTCAACACCTCTCATGAATGATCACTGAAAATACTGAAAAGCTTCAGCACATTTACAACTTGATCCAAACTGTCACTACCTCTTTTTTTTTTCCCTAATTAATAAATGTGTCTAGCCATATGTGGGACAATAAACCCATTTATTTTGATGGTGATGTTCACATGCTTGCTGTGAAGCACATGTTTAAATGCTTTGCTGACAAGGCAGAGGCGAACAGATGCCTTTTCCATAACAAGCTGGCTGTGTATCTCTAGCTGGCAACCGCAGCAGGCTCCCCAGCTTCTTCTGAGGGCCAGGGACTATTCATCATTAAAGGAGACGGCTCCTGCTAGCAGCCAGCCCAATCCAAAGAACAGGTCTACCCCACAGAGGAGAAGGAACTAGGAAGAGCTTCCCAATGACCCACGTTAAACCTGGGACCCCAAGGCAGGTGGTCTTTTTTAACACTACGAAGTGGAGATATGGTAGGTCCAGAAAACAAAATATAATTACCTCTTTGGTGATATTTTCTGGTAATACTGTGCAAGTTTTTCACTGACTTTTACAGAAAATACTCCTTTTACTGTGAAGGTACTAATCATAGAATAATAGAATGGTTTGGGTTGGAAGGGACTTGAAAGAGCATCTATTCACAACACCCCTGCTATGGGCAGAGACACCTTCCACTAGACCAAGTAACTCAAATTACGCAGTATAGTCTGAATTGCTGGCACACAGCTGTTTCCAAGCATGTCAAATCTCTTGTGAAAGTAGGACCACCTTTTTCACCGTGCACCTTCATGTTATTGAAAGGATATATCCAAGTTTACTTGTCATGAGCATTTATGTTTTTTATCGACCAATGTGAAATTCTCTGTCAGTGAAGTAGGAAGGGAGCACAGGTAAACTACCCAGAAAAATACAGCCATTGCAAAAATGAACCAGTAGATTTCAAGCAGCAATCTCAATTCATTATATATAGGAAATATTTTCCTGTTGCTGTTTGAAGGTGCATCATGGTAATAAACTGGATTTAATGATTTCATTATGATCTATAATTACGTCATTGTGCTCTATGCTAGAAGCAGCTCCTTTTGTTTATGTGGTCTGATATTGGTATTTACCTCCTTGAATATGTTACTTGCTCAGTATTTTTGTGGAACAATAATTTCAGCATGTGGATTTTTTACAAACCATTAGTTTAGATTACATGCAGTTACTTATTCATGGGAGATGAGCAGTCACCTCGATCCTGTCAGTGTGCTTTTTGACTCAACCACCAAGTGTTCTTACAGGGAAGAGTAGTAGAACAAGGGCAATACCTGCAGAATTGAGTTTCAGAAGCATCTTCCTGAGATAGTATGTGAAATATATGTAAATCATTTCCATAATACAACTGCTATCAGCAAATAACATGGAGTGAACTTACTGTATTTATTTGCATGCAAATTTAAGATCACTTTTGCTGTTATTTAACCATCTGTAGCTACAAGATATTACTGCTTGTTCATAAAATTATGCGTATGAGTAATGTCATAATAATAAGTAATATTACAGTAAGTAATTCTTAAAAAGAAGAGGTGAATTAATATTGTTGCTGCATCTTCCCCGAGTGTTTATACTCTGATTTTTCTATTTAATTTCGCAGCAGTGTTTTTCCCTGGTGTAATTATCAGTCTGAGAGTTCCTAATGCTCCCAGTCTGCCAGGCAGCTCTCTAGTGTGATGGCTTTTCCTTCCCTCTGTGATGATACCAGGTGGTCTAGTTGCAGTTGGGATTGGGATAAGACTTTAAAATGCTGTTACGTTTAAAACAATATTCGATATATGGGAGGTGAGTTATACAGCCTGAAAACTTGCCTCTTCTCAGCAGGAATTATATAATTGGACCTCTATAACAGAAGTGTTACACTGGGTTACAACTTGTGAACAGCAAGCTTAAACTTTCCATCAGGTCATGCAGGGCTGGCACATACGAGAGCAGTGAAGTGGTCTCTTCGCCTCATCCCACCTTGAAGAGGTTTGGGCTCGGTGATCCTTCCACCTGCGTTTACAGACTGGTGTTGCTCTGTTAATACACTGCTGTTCATATGCGCAAGGATTTTTTTCTTGCTTTCAGGTTTTAGTCATCTTGTTGAGCTTTCTGGTGCCTTCTTTGCTCTTTACAGAACTCAGTTTTATGTTGGCCTGAGCTGATTTAGAGATAGCACTCCTTTTGTCCAGTGAGATGAGACCCTTCTTAAATTACACATATCCTGAGCTTACACATGAAAACCTATGTCATTAACATTACCCATTTATCTCCACACCACAGGTTTTGGAATGACCACACCCGCAACTGTGGCTGGAAAGGTATTCCTCATCATTTATGGCCTTTTTGGGTGTGCTGGGACTATCCTTTTCTTCAACCTCTTCTTGGAGCGCATTATCTCCCTCCTGGCATTTATCATGAAGGCGTGCCACGAGAGACAGCTGCGAAGAAGTGGTCTCCTACCTCCCAACTTCCGAAGGGGGCCAGCTATGTCTGGGGTGGGCAGCCTCGTGGGCTGGAAGCCATCCGTTTACCACGTGTTGCTAATTCTGGGAATATTTGCTATTACCCTTTCCTGCTGCGCCTCCGCAATGTACACGGCGGTGGAAGGATGGAACTACGTTGATTCCTTGTACTATTGCTTTGTCACATTCAGCACCATCGGCTTTGGAGATTTGGTAAGCAGCCAGAACGCTGCATACCAAAATCAGGGATTATACAGATTCGGAAACTTTGTATTTATATTTATGGGGGTATGTTGCATATACTCTCTTTTTAATGTCATTTCAATTGTAATCAAGCAAGTTTTGAACTGGGTGTTGAAGAAATTCGAATGCAGATGTTGCCCAAAGTGCCATAAATCAAGTACCCGCCTCAGCCGTCGCAACGCCATCACCCCCGGAGCCCGCCTGCGTCGACAAAACATCTCAGTGGACACTGATGGACAGTACGACAGTGACACCGAGGGGAGGAGGCTCTCTGGAGAGATGATCTCCATGAGGGAGCTCACGGCATCCAATAAAGTCTCCCTGGCCATTTTGCAAAAGCAGTTGTCCGAGACGGCCAACGGCTACCCGAGGAATGTTTGTATCAATACGAGACAAAACGGTTTCTCTGCAGGGGTGGGTGCTCTAGCCATCATGAACAACCGCTTGGCAGAAACGAGTGATTCTAGGTAGAGTTTTTGAAATTCCTTTTGTTTCTCTAATAAAAATGAAATGGTGACTAGGCTGGAATTATCATTGTAAGCTACTGGAAAGTTTTAAATTCAGACACAGCCTTGGTATTCATTGGGCGTTCAGCATTTTAGTCTCTGGGGGTTTTATAAGTTTTCTCTAATATGCATTGAGATATTTATCATTATGTTACAATTTTCCCCTGAGGGTCTTTTGGAAGAGACTTGGATGTCTTTGATGCAGAATCTGATGCAGTTACAGAAGGATGGTGTGCATGGTTAGGATGGTGTCAATACCAGCCTGTTCTTCAGAACAGAGCCTAAACCCAAACTCTGTGTTAAAATACGTTGTGGGCAAGTTTGGCTCCATATTCAAACATGGGGTTGGTAAGGTTTGATTAAACCAGTATCTCACAGTTTGTTGAAGTCTAGATCTGGCCCTGAGCTTTGTGCTTGATGCTCTTCAGCAATTCCTCACAGCAGGCCTGTATGTAACATACATGTAGGTGACGGCTGCCACACCACCTCTAGTGTGATTGTGCTTCCCTTCAATAACCCTACTGACTTCAACAGCAGAGGATTGAATGGGCTGGATTCCCCTCATACAAATTATGGGTTTTAGCCAGTCATGTCTGAAAGACTGCCTGCCACCTAACTCATAAAAGTCAGGGGGTTATCAAGGACCGTATCAAAGTGTGCAAAACTATTCCTGCCTACTGAATAACTGGAAACAGGCAATTGTCATCTTCAGTACTGACTTCATGTAATGCAAGAGAAGCCAGTATGCACCTCTGGTATCAAATGTTTGCATCACCACTGAAATGCTTATTTCATTACTTTCACATTAAAATAAGTCACTAAAATGAACGCAGGCTCTCTGTTGTCCTAAATTTTCATCTTTTGCTTCTGCAATATTGTTGCAGAGATTCATGCAAATGATTTCCTTGCAGTTTTTTGAGGGCTCCAGCCCTGTACTTGTTTCCCACAAATCTGACTGTGTAGGTTATACAGAAGAGCACTACTTTGGAGTTCCCCCTGAAAGCTGACTTCCCCCAGAATGCTGATGTGAAGTCATAAATTGGCCTTTGGCTGTTGCTACCATCTTAAGCCATATTTAATCTGCACTAGCCCAAACCACTGAAAAACCAGAAGCAAACCTGGTCTGGAGTGTCTAGTTTAGCATAACAAATGGGTGCAGAGGAATTGCTGCAAATCTCTTTTGAAATACATGCACAGCTCTGGATCATTTCTCTAAATTCTCTCTACTATGCTGTGAAGTTAATTAAAAGGCTTCTGCTGATTCCAGGCAAGAAACAAAACTTGAGTTTATATTCTGAGCCACAGTGACCTGCTCTTGGAAACTTCTTTTGAAGTTGTAGGCAAGACCATGAGTAACTAGATTGGTCACTGAATAAATTAAAGAAGCTGATGAAAACAAACTGGGAATATTAGAAATGATTGAAAATATTTCCATGAAGTTTCATATAGATATTTTACTCTGTTGTTTACTTACTTTACTTTGCTTTGCCTGGGTTTGGAGTAGCCATCATTTTTGCTTTCCTTTAAATTTGTAGTGGTGCAAAATGTTTTGGAATTTAACCTTGGAAAACTAACTTTTAATTTGAGGTTTTGCACACTTGAGCCTGCCAGCTGAAGTATGGCAATGATTGTATCTTTTTCCTGACGAAAAGGAATCAGAGCAGCAGATAAACCATCACACATGGATCTGTATCACACTCTAAACATAGTCACAGCTTTTGTCAAGATGCATTTGGCCAGAAACAGGCAGTGATGATTGTGTTCTCTTTCTACCTGACACAGACTCACACTTAAGATTATGTGGTATAGTAGAGTCCACATTCAAGAGGCAGGAGCTTTCTTGATGGTAGCGAGACTCCCCAAGGTCCACGCGTCAGAGTGCCTTCCTGTCTGTGCACTCCTGCTCTTTGAAGCAGGAAGAGTTCAAAGTGTTTGGTGATCCTAACTTGAAGCCCACTGAAGGATAAATTTAAGCAGGCTGTGTAGGGGCAGGTCAGGGTCTGGAGAAGACTCAAAGACTGGCTGCAGAAGTTGAAAGACCCATTTCAGGGAGGCACCTTCCAGAGATGCCGGGGACATCTTTGGAAACAGCAGAGGCAGGGAACTGAAAGAATGAAAATTTGTTATTTTCCCTTGGGATTACCCCATAGGTAAATAACTGTGATGGTTTATGTGTTCGTTAATTAAAAGTGTGAATGAGACCCTGCTCTCTTTCTGCAGCTAGACTCTCAGGGTTGTATCTTGGTACATTTGCCATCATGAGGACTATTACTCATTAGAAGGAGCCCCACTCTGTGAAGTGTTGTATAAATCAAGGCAGATGGGCTCTGTCCCAAAGGACTAAGGAGTTTGAATAGATAGGACCCCAAGCCACAGGAGAATTTGTTATTTTGCTCATAAAACCATGTTCAAATTCATTAACATTCTGTGAGCTGAAGAACTCTGTGGGGAAAAATTTGCAAATTAAGGTGGGGGGTTTTTCAGTAAGTTGTTTTTAAAGGATAAATATAACCATAATTAGGGTCCTGTTTAAATGTTTGTAAATTGTTGTCAAACTACCTATTCCTGCTTGGGAAATACAGTGATGTAATATGAAATTGTACATACCTCCTCTGTACTTTTTCTGCATTTAGGCAAAGGCAGTCTGTTGTAACATGATTTAAATGTTTCTGAGTCTGTTTGGTACCATCGTTTACAGTGGTGCCTTTGCAGGACCCTTTGCAGTTCCTGTTGACCCCAGGGGAAGTTGGACCAGGTCCTACAGCTGGGCTTCTCAAGGGATTTGAGCATCTGATTGCTGCTCTATGCACTTAGGTCTAATGTTTATTTATTCCCAAGATCCTTGATACACTCCATTCTGCTTCTCCTTAGCCTCAGAGGCATATAAAGTGCATGCCCAGTTGTTTACCAATGCCCCTATTTCTTGCAGTGCACATATCCCTAGAAGCTGATACAGCTCAACCACAGGGACCCCCAGTTTGTATCTAAGCCCTGTAAAAATCCCCATCTGGCTCAGCAAAGCCAGTTTATGAGAGGGTCAGAGCAAAGTTACTGAGCTGGGTCTCACTGGGAAGCATCTGACAAAGGGTGGCCTTACAGTTCCCTCATATTCAGTGGCCGAAGTATTTTTCAAGGATGCATGAAAACCAAGCTCCAAGTCTCTACTCTTTAGCCTGCTAACACTACCTGGGCACCCATCACCTTTGTGCATGAGTACCTGAGCCAAGAGGACATAGGAGATCTGAGATCAGTCAATCGTAGTCCCTTGTGCTCTTCCTTTAGCATTTTCTTAATGACAATTCCTCTTTAAACTTGCCAGACATGGGCACCTAACTCCTCTTTGATTGTGCATGGTCCAGCTCGGGATTCCCTGGGGCAACCTGCTCCTTTTGTGAATTAACCCCTAAACATGCACCAATTGCACCAAGTGCAATTCCTCCTGGTATTTCGTTTTCACAGACAAAGCAGATACCAGCAATACCTGGACACAGGCTGAAGCACAAGAAATCAGAAGGAAACTGAAGGAACAGAGTGGGACAGTGAAAGCACACTGCACTAGATTGCACTTTCTTTTCAGGTAATTTGGGAGTTGTATTACATTCTTGAAATGTTTCTTTTTTCCCTAGGTTTTATTTTTGGATAGCCTTGAAAGAATGCAATTAACTTAGGATTTAAAAGTTCATCTTCCCTGATACAACCCCCTCAGCCCCCCCTGCAGAACAGCAGCAGTGACTCCTAGCTGGCACAGACCAAGACATCCCAGTTGCCTGCTGAGAAGTTGTACAGGCAGTGCAGACCTGAGCTCAGACCCCATGCCCCAGATTAGTCTTTTGCTGCCTGAGCCCAGGAAAGAGCATTCAGGAGCAGCAGAAAGCTACAGGACTTGGGACTTCTCTGTGAGCCAGCCCTTAGTGAGACCAATGATGGCACAGGTGTGAGCTGGTCAGACAAAGGAGATACCGAGTTCACCTCGCACATGTGCTAATACCTTGCAGATGAAAATTAAAATTTAGGTGAAAATTAATGAGGGACAATGACCAAGCAGCATCTTCTCTTTCCCCTTGAGCTCAGGGCAGAACAATTACAAGGAATAGTTTCTTGGGAAATCTGTAGCATGTGGCAAGTCACTACATTCACTTCTTGGGGTTTGTCTTCCCTGTTTGTGTCTTGGACAAAGTTTGGAGTCACACTGAGATGTCATCTGTTTCTCTTTGGTTTCTTCCCATCTCCAAAGCACAGTTCTCATTTTGTGCAAAAAATTTAGATCGCTTTTTATTTGCTTGCAATAAGGAAGGACGTCCTTCAGACCATATAGATGTTCAGAGAAGTAATCTCAGTGACCTCAGCCGCACATGGAAGTTTCTGGAGGACGAGGCTGCAGTTTGCCTGTCTCCCTGCAGAAGAAGCATTGCACAAGTAACTCCCATTACTGCTAGCAAGACATATAAATGTTCTTTAGGCAGTGGTTGGGGCCATGCAGCAGGAGGCACAACTGAAAATGCAAGATGGGTATTTGTGCCTCTTTGCTATGTACATGCTAGTTGGCAGCCCAATTAGGAGCTCTGATTGCAACCAGAATTACTGGTGGAAGACAGGAGAGATGTAAGAATCACACCAAAGCTCTCTGTGACCATGGTGTCCCAGCACTGCTTCAGCCCTGGCCCTGAGTCTTTTCTCTTCCCCAGCTTTCTGCGGGTGAAAATTTGGGTATATTATGACCATTCACCCATATTTCAGTCATGTCTTAGCTTGCTACTGAAAGACAGACTTATAGCAGTAGTGGAGGTCATATAGCCAGGTATGTAGGCACGGTATAAACCTGATTGCCTATGTGGGATGAATTTATAATTATATGAAAATTAGCTGTAGCAATGAGATTGTTGTCACTTCTTAGTATTTTTCCAGCCTTTAAATTGAAAAATATTCAGTGACAAATCATTGCAATGAATGTTCGGAGCTAATTAAACAAAACCGTATTTTGCTGATCGCTAGCAAATCTATGGGTATGGCTTCTGCTCTAATTGGATTACTAATGTGCCTTTCCAAATCAATACACATTTGCAATGCTATATTTAAATAATACAATAAATGCTATGTTACATAATAACTTCAATTAGGGCAAATTAATACTTGTCTCACACAAAATAACTAATGAACTGTGCATTGCTCATTGTACAACCGATATGCAATTTCTTTTTGTGTGTGTGAATATGTCCATATTTGAGCTCAAATTCTGCTTTCATGAATGCTAGGGAAACAGAAACTACATTGTAGAAAATAATGGACAATTCCACTGAGATTCCACAAAGGATATGCATATTAGTACATACACAGTAAGCGGTTCATTATGCATGATAAATATGTTGTACAGCAACAGCACTGAGGAAGGACTACTTCAGTTTACACAGCCACAGTCTGTGGCTACCAATAAAGACACATGCCTTTTTTCTTTCTCTTTTTGTTTATTAAATAGGTAACATCCACCCTGTAATTAGAATAAGACTTTAAACCATCAAAAAGAAAATGCAATTGCCCTAAAGTTTGCATAGCCAAAAAGAGGTCTAAAGTCAGATCCAGGTGTGTCTCAGACAGCTCCCAAGCCCAGACTCAGCATGGGATGCAGGTAGGTTTAAAATTGTGTAACATCATCATCCCATGTGTTTTCAGGATTGGGCTTTCCAGCAGGTGGTGCTTTATCAAACAGTCTTAAGAAATACGAAGGTGTTCCCGTATTCCTTTTATACTTGGCAAGATGTAACAGTACTTTTTGAAGCCAGTGAGTCAATGCAAAAGTAATGCTTTTATAACATACAATAAACAATGAGAAAAAATTACTGCTATTTCTGACTCTGCAAATCAAACAGCCAAGTTTTCTCAATGGGTATAATTTCCTATTCCATGCAAGTAAAATTATGTCCAGAAAATTTTTGCTTGTGGTAACATCAATAGACTGCACAGGCAGTGCAATAATTCAGTTCCAATTTTATTTTAAAACCTCAGTATCTGAAAGCACATCTGAAAATGGTTTGCAGATTGTTGGAGGTGGGGAGGGATTGTGTGTGTAAACATTGTTTATTTACAAAAATAAAAAGTATTATTCTACTTATACAAACACATTTTTAGCTCACTGGAATCCTACCTTGTTGGGTACTCTGCAAAAATATTAGTTCCAAAGTTCCAACTGATTTCAGTTATTCAAGTCTCAAGATACATGCTCAAAAAACATTCCTGTTTATTTTATTTCTTTTTAAAAGAACACAGCTTGGTAGGTATCTTTAACTGAGCTGGCATTACTGTTTCCTATTACAAGCCTCAGTAGTTTTACTTCTGCAGTTTATTTCACTGGTTTTGGTATTTGCTCACTTCTACATTGAATTATAAAACAGTGATCAGTTCTGTGCTGTTTTCTGGTTGGTATCTCTTTTCTTTTTGTATTAATTACAAATAGATGAAATATTGACACCAGCAAAATATCCAGCAGATGTTCCCAATCACACCAAAATTAGTCACTCTTATGAATATTTTTCTTTTAAAAATTGTTTTGTAAAATCTAAATCCTGAGTATAAATTGCGTATCATGGTTGAAATTAGTAAACAATATTTTTCCTACCAACAGAAATCCAGTGAAATATGCTAAAGATTAAGTTTTATGTAAAAAGACTTTCCTGTTTCATTTGCCCATTTTATCTAATTTTTTTCAAATTCTTAGTCAGAAGTATGTAAATCCCATTTGGAAAATGCCCTGTGCTGTACATTAATTCCTATGAATAGAGCTTCTAAAGGGATTAAAACCGAGCCTGTCTGACTGCTGCAAACAGAATTGCATGTATAAACCTTCAAAACCTTAAATATTTGTACCTGTGTGGCAATTGCAAACCAAGGGCATGCTAATGTAATTCCAGTTCAGGCAAAGAAATGTAAATCACGGGGTTCTACTTGCTGCTAACCACTTTTATCAAAAAGACCTCGAGTACACAGCTACAGCATCAAGGGCAATGTACTGACTCTTGGTACTCAAAGATGTTCCTTTGTAGGTTGGTTTGGTGGCTGGGAGTTGGCACTGGGGTGGTTAAAGCGGCTTGGCTGGGTGGTGCTGGCAGTCCCTTTTGTTGTGCCTCAGGAGGTGTTTGCCATCACCCCAGTCTGCTGCTGCTCTTAAGGACAGTCCCTGTCTTTAGGCAACGCACACACCTGCCTGCCCCTGCCCTTGAATCAGGGACAGCAGCTGTGCTGTTTGAATTACCAACATACAAAAATACAGGGAAAGGCAAAAAGAAAAAAGGGAAAAAGAAGACTGACGTTGTATTGAGCCTCTCTTGAGAAGCACAGCGAAGTGCTGTGTGTATAGCCTGTGCTAGACTGTTTCTGGCCACCTTTGAACCCTGGTTTCTTCCTGGAACTGGAGTGTTTGGGACGCAGGTGCAGTTATCAACTCATTTTACATTCCCCCTCTGCATCGGCAAAGCAGTAATCCTCCTGTGATCTACTTTCCTCATAAAATGGATAGATTTGTTTAGACTTTCATAGGATGACAGCATATATAAATATTGCAAGATGAATCAATTACCAAGGGCTGGTTATATCTGCTAAGAGATCTTTATCAGTAAAAAAAAGGGAAAATTGTCTTGCCATCCTACAAGTATAGTGAAACAACAGAAGAAGTGGTGCTCTGAACAGAAAGTAAGGTGCTAAAATATACAATTGGGCCCCAAAGCTCAGGCATGCACCACAAAATTACAATAGCATTCTTTTCCAATGCTCAATGCACCTGTACCTTGGGGAAAAGCCTGGGTTTCTGCCAGCACCAGGGCAGGCAAGGCTTATATTTTCTTCATCTGTATGAAAGCAAAACGTATTTGAGGCCATGCCTTGGTCTGCATAGCACTCAGGGGTGGAGTTGCCTCTGTCCACAGATTTAAACATGTCCATGGTCCAGAGACCATGAATAGTGGTCCAGTCCCCAGTAGAAAATGGATCTGCCTCGAGGTGTCTGTCATTTTTGGAGAGGAGTTGAATGTCATGGCAATCCACAGCTGCGTCCTCTGGCCAAGTTTCCCCTGGTGTGGGATCCATCCCACTGCCAGACCCTGTGATTGTACTGCCAGGAGACCAGTGCAAATCATCAGCAGTGTGCTCATATCCCTGCCTTCCTAATGGACTAAAAACGTTGGAAAATAGATAATTTTCTATTTTAATGATCAAAAGAGTGTTGCCCATTATTCACAGCCTACACACAAGATGTCATGATTTTCAATTTTCCTGCACTGATAACTCAGTCCATTTGACAGCTGACCTTCAGGTGGTCATGGCTTTTCAAAAAAAAAAAAAAAAAANAAAAAAAAAAAAAAAAAGAAACAAAAAACTCAAAACAAAAAAACCAAACACCCAATACCAACATACCAGAAAAGCAAAATAATCCTAAATGAGGTGGTAAGGATCTCACATGCAAAAGCTGTGAGCAGAGCTGCCACTGTCCACAGCAGCCTGACGCTTCTCCAGCAGTGGGAGAAGCTTGGGTTCAGGAGAGCATCAGCTGGGTGGTTGGGGTGCTGGACGTTGCCCTGCAAACAGCTGCAGCACTTGCTGAACCAGTTTCTGCTGCTGTTTTTACACTGTTAGGGACATTTCTCATCACTGGTACTGAAATAAGAGGATGGCAGCAAATCTTACACTTGCTTTTTACTGCCACTGTTGCATATGGGTGTTAGCCAGAGACATTTGTAACAACCAAAAGGAATTTCAGCTGAGCATTGGTCAGAAAAAATAACATCTTGCCAGCCAGAAACAGTTGCAGCAGGTTCCAGTGCCCAGCATCACTCAACATTCTCCCAAAGAGTTGAACTATACAGAGATTACCTAAATAAGCCAAAAGAAATGATATGCTCTAAGAAGCAAGTGCTGCTGTTGCCTGAATCTGGAGTAACTTAGTTGAATTGCAGGTAATAAATAGCCCAATTAAACAGATGTAATGACTTTTAAATGCCTGCTAGAAGTCAAAAGGAGATAGATGCATTTTTCCAGCACAATTTCAGTTGTGTTTATCAAGTCAAGTGGTAAAATGAAGAAGCATAAGTTCCTGTAAATTAGTGATTAGAAAACATAGATTTTTACTCTCTTTCAGATGATGCTTCCTGGCAGAACATTAAACTGGAATAAATTTCAAGACTGAAATCTGTTTAAACAAGTGGCAATTTTTAAAATGCTTTAATTCTGGGTTGACAGAAACTTTGCCTCCAATACATACCGTAATTGTGAGTGCTCTTGATGAATCAGTCCCATTTTTTATGTCAGCTCAGGATTTTTCCGCTATAAGATCTTTGAATGAAGAGGAGTAAAAACCATATACAAAGCCAATTAGATACAGATCACATTTCTACTGGTACATTATATACAATTTGCAAACAAAAATGGGTATTTTGGGCTTGGCACCCCTTCATTCACAGAAGCATGGTTATAGACCTAGGAGGCAGAGACAGCTGATGTGCAGCCACATTGCAAAGCAGTGCAGAGGGGCTGGGGAAGGATTCTTAGAGCTGGTGGTTAATGACACTGTGGAAGAACCCACTGATGGTGTTTGGGGAACCTTACTGTGTGTTTTAATGCTGTGATACATGGTCGAGTATGAATTCTGTACATCTGGGAGGATGTCAAATTCCAGGTGACATTTGGAATGTTGCAATTAAGTTATTACAAAGACTTTTGAAATAAACAGGAGAAAAAAAAATGTTGCCTGGGATGTGTATGTGAGTACTGGTTTTTTTCTGAGCATGGAGAGTAGGAGGTAAGGCAGAAGCCCCTCCTGGCTGAGAGATTCCCTTGTAAATGTATGGCCTGGAGACCTCAGAGCCATAAGGGGAGACCCCAGAACTCCACAGATGCTGACTAAACTGTGTGTGGTCAAACAGAGCCAGGCAGGATAATAACCGATGTGACGTGCTTCTAATGTACAGGACGGTCACCTGTTAAATTTTGCAGCTGAGTTAAATTTTGCCTTTGCTTTACAATAAAGGAGAGAGCAGATGGAAATTGTTTGCTCTGTAAACAGTTATAAGGAACTCATGATATATCCCCTCTCCACAGCTTCCATTCAAATCAATAGGATCCATCTGTCCAAGGTATTAAGATAAATCCTGGAAATTTTGGTATTGACTAGAAAGGCCCTTACAAGATCAATCACACAACAAACAGAGAAATGTCACTGCACCAAACGCTGAGGCTTGCTAATCCTGCTAGATAACATAGACCCAAAGTGCAAACCTTTCTGGTTTGTAAACCCAGCTAAAGCCCCTGTTGCTGTCCCCAGTTCCTCAGCTAATAAAAACAAGCCCTGGAGAGTGCTGCTGCTGGGCACATGCTCTGGAGGGCACCTGCTGTGCCTGCTGCTGCTGGGACACCCCAGCCAGTCACACAACCTGCAGGGGCTGGTTTGACAGCCTTTCTTGCCAAAACACACACAACTTATTTCCCTGGCAGAAAGGATAAGGGCTGAAGAGTTGCAGCCACCAGAAGTTATGCTGGGCCCAGCAGCAAAGGGGAAAGGGAAGATGTTGGCTGTCTAGCACTGATTCCACTGATGTTAGGTGTCCCCAAAAACGCTGTGCTGGGACTCCAATTCCTCTGGGATTTATTCAGGACCTCCCATGTTCAAAGAAGTTAAGATTTTGGAATATTTTAATTTCTTCAGAATTCCAACCATAAAGTTCTCCATTATAGGGTATGGGGGAAAAATTCTACTAATTTGGTAAATACTCATATTTTCCACAAATACTTTTTTTTTTTTTTTAAGTAACAATTACACTTTCTACACCTCTCCATTTTGATGTTACTGTTCTGGTACCTTACTGGTTTGCAAATGTATCCTTTCCTGGGGAACCACAAGGAACCACCACTACCTCAGCTCGTTTCCTGATGGGAAAACAAGAGGCACTGAGCTCTGCTCTCCGAGAAGGCAGCAAAGAAATTGAGGGGAAGAGGAAACTCACCTGGATGAGCAGTACCAGCAGCTCCAACAATTGCTCTCAAGATCTTTCGAGGGCCTCATCCTGGTGTAAGCAAAAGGCCACTGAGAAAGCATCCAGCCTTGCTGTGTAGCAGGAGGCTGCCAGTACCCAG